CAGGCATGTTAATCATAAAGCTCACTGGAACAGACTGGAATATCCAGATGTAGTCACTAGTACTTCTGGTAAATTAACATGTGATTCAGTTAATATGTCAAATCAGTGGGGGGAAAGATCTGTCACTCTCTTTTTGTGATGCAGGGCCTCACACATGCCAGGCAAGCACTTCACTGTCGAGCTAGCTACATTCCCACAGGGAGAAAAGATGGATTAAGTAATGAACAGTGCTGGGATATCTGGGGAGTTATCTAGAAAACAAATATAACTAATCTCAAAATTATGCCAAAATATGCAGCTGGGGTATGGTGGCGCACAGCAGTAATCCCAGCAGCTTAGTAGGCTGAGAAAGGAGAAGAGCAAGTTCAGAGCCAGCCTCAGCAACTGGGAGGTGCTAAGCAGCTCAGTGAGACCCTGTCTCTAAATAAAATACAAAATAGGGCTGGAGATGTGGCTCAGTGGTCGAGTACCCCTGAGTTTAATCCCCGGTATCAAAAAAATTTTTTTAAAAATTATGCCCCAAAATTTTACAGATGGACAAAATGTGTGAAAAATTAAAGTATGTAGGTACTATAAGAAATCATGGAGTTGAAAAGATAAATCAGAGTGGCAAAGCATTTTTAAGTATTTTATAACTATTGCAGCCACAGGGTGGAAGAAAGGGCAGTTTACATAAGTAACTATAAAATACAGGCCATAAACTGGGATGCAATTTTAATAATTAATTTCTTGACAGAAGGCACATTTCCCTTTATATCAGTAAGAATATCAGCAAGGGGCTGGGATTGTGGCTCAGCAGTAGAGCGCTCACCTAGCATGGGCGGGACCCGGGTTCAATCCTCAGCACCACATAAAAATAGAGGCATTGTGTTGTGTCCATCTACACCTATAAAATAAAAAATAAAAAAAAAGAATATCAGCAAGACTTTAATAGAAAAACACAAAACATTGAAAACTACACAGTAAAGAAAACATATCTGGTCCTTAAAAATGTGAAAAATATTTAGTCTCACTTTAATGAGAGAAACACAATTATGCTTAGATGCCATTTCTATCAGATAATAAAGGTCACAGTTTGTTAGTATACTATATAGACAAATATGTTGTCCAGATCATATTATTTTTGCTGAAAATGCTGAAGCTGAACCTAAGTTTCTAGGAAACACAGTAATTAAAAACAAATACCATGAAGAAAAAAGATAAATTCAGACAGTATGATGTTCTCTTTAACTACTGGCCTAGTGCCTTCAACAAGCCAATATCATAGGAGAAAAGTATGTGGAAAGCAGGAATTTTTTAAATGAAAAGAAACTTAAGAAAATTGACAACCAAATGTAACCATGTGGTCTTTGATTGGATCCTGGTTTGATCAAACTAGCTACAAAATAAATTTGGGGGAATTGGGAAATGCTAAATATAGACTGGACATTAGATGAATTTTAGGAATCATGTTTAATATTTTATCAAATATTTGCTAGATTGATAAAAGTATTTCATTTTTTAATACCTTTATTTTATTTATTTTTATATGGTGCTGAGGATCAAACCCCTAGGGCCTCACACATGCTAGGCAAGCCTCTACCACTGAGCCACAACCCCAGCTCAAAGTATTTCAGTTTTGTAGGAAAATGTTATGTTGTGGCTTTGTATACATTAGTATTTAGGAGTAAAATGTCATGATGCATATAATTTATTTGAAGCTATTTCATCAAGCAAGGCAAATATGATGAAAGTATTTTAGCAAACAAAATCATATATAAGGAAGCAAATATGACAACTTTCTAACAATTACTAAATTTAGGTGATGGTTGTATAGATATTCATTATGCTATTCCACTTTTTAGTGTATTTGAAAATTTTATCATTAAGTGTTAAGCATACCAAGTAATGCTCTAGTAAAAATTCTGGTACATCCTTGTGTACCGTGGGGATCCTGTCAAAGTCTCCTAAGCCCTGTCCTAGGCAAGATGGAAATATCTAATGCTTTTCAAACTTCAGAGTTTAAATTTAGTTATCCTAAAATAATTCAATTTAGAGGGGATCATAATCACTGATCTTTTATCCTACAGAAAGTACTTAAGGTTTTTGAGTAGTAAGGGTTAATATTATATGAAATTTTGGCATCAGATAGTCACATATATCAGTTACCTTTAAATGTATGTATATGCATGATTATGTTATAAAATCCATTTCTTATTATAACTTGTAGGCAAAAAGCTCAAAAATTACTGAATTTGTTTAGTATTTTGCATTGGAAGTCACTGATGTTAGTGCTTTCTTGGGTTACACAGTTTTTGTTTGTTTGTTTTTGTTTTTTTCTGTGCTAGGATGAATCCCAGGGCCTGCCCATGCTGGACAAGTACTCTGCTACTGAGCTATGTTCCCAGCCCAAGTTCATTTTCCTTAACTTAAATTTATTTGCTTTACTTGGTTATCTGACGGGTGATTAGAGTTGTTCTCATTTTATTTGCTTTGATTTTTTTAGTAACTGTGACTGAAGTTTTACAAAAGGAAAAGAAACAGAAAGATGAGAAGAACTTAATACTAGGTCAAGCTGTGGTGGATCTTCTTCCCTTACTGGAAGGTCAGATATATGATTTTCTCAAAAGCAGAAATATGAAAGTGCATATTTAGATGCAAAGTGTTGCAAAACACAGCCTAAATGAATTTGGAGGATTTAAGAAAAATATGAGCACATTTATTTCTGTCTGCAATACTAATTTAACTCTTCCTTCTTTGGCTCAACTTGTCTTCCTTTCACAGGAGAGAGTTCATTTGAAATGGTGGTTCCTTTGCATCCTGTGCAGGGCTCACCCTTAGAAACCCCTCGACCAGGCTCTAAGGTAATCAGTTTTAACTCTTTAACATTTCAGCCTTCCATTCAATATAATGAGTCTGTCTGTTTATAAGGTTCAATTCAGTTGAGTCCAATTCATTGGTCATCTTTTTTATTTTCCCCACAGCACAATAATGCTAGGTTCTAGAAAACAGATGAATAAATCCTACCTTCTAAGAGCTCACAATCTATGGATATAACCCAGTGTGATGAAATGGTGGTTGGGGGACATATTGGCACAGAGCAGATATTGTTGGTTTTGCCCAGGAGTAGATATAAGAAAGGCTTAGCTATGGAAATTCTTCTGAGCTGTGTGCTGATGAATCAATAGTATATGAAAGCACATAGCACACTTAAAGACATGTAGCCTGACTCTGGCTAAAGACTTCTAATTCAGCAGTTCTATCCCAGATCCCTGTCGTGAATCCTAGAATTCATACTTTACAGCCACCTGCTATATTTCTCTCTAATGTTACCCCATAGGCACCTAAAATTCAACATTACAAATCTAAACTCAGAATCTTTCCTAAAATGTACTCTTCCTTTTTTCTTAGTTCTTTTGACTGGTGGCATCACCCAGCTATGAAATCAGAGTCCAGAATCCGTCACATTCCTCAGATCCCAACCCCAACCAGTTTCCAAATTCACCTTTCACTAAATACAGCCTTTTCCATCTCTAAATTTCTTCATATTCTTCCTGGAATCACTCCTGCTTGTTATTGCCCCATCATCTCTTATCTGAATCATTATCAATAATCTTGTATCTGCCTTTTCCTCTCTCCACTTCACCCTTCCTACTGCTTGCACAGTGACTTCAAAGTGAATTTGAGGGGCTGGGGTTGTGGATCAGTGGTAGAGTGCTTGCCTAGCACATGCGAGGCGCTGGGTTCAATCTTTGGCACCACATAAAAATAAATAGGTAAAATAAAAATATCAAAATACCAACTATAAAAACTAAAAAAAATTTTTTTTAAGTGAATTTGATGGTGACTGGACATGTAGCTCAGTGGTAGAGCACTTGCCTAGCATGTGTAAGGCCCTTGGTTTAATCCCCAGGAACACACACATACACACACACATACACCACAATGAATTTGATCACATCTCTTATCTTACCCTTCTTAGTATATGGTGTGGTTCATGGGTTCACCATTCTATACAGTGTGTACAGTCTAAACTGTGTACAGGTTTAGATCCAGATGCCTTAGTGGGCATATGACATCTTTGTAATGGGAACTTTCCACTATTTCAACCATATCTCCCAGCACTCCTGTCCTTGTATTTTATGTTCTAAATCCTGAACTACTTCTTACACACGTGAATGGAATACACCATACTGTTTCAGTCTCCTTTTGCATCAACTCTTCTTTTGATCCAGAATTGTTTTATTTTTACATCTTACTTATCTAGGTTGCAAACTGGTATTCATCCTTTAAAAGTCAACTCAGGGGGGCTGGGGCTGTAGCTTAGTGGTTGTTTGCCTAGCACATTGAGGCCCTGGGTTCAATCCTCAATACCATATAAAAATAAATAAAAATAAAGGTGTTATGTCCATTTACAATTAAAATTTTTAAAAAGAGTTAAAAGAAAAAGTTTCAACTCAGATGTCATCTCTAATTCCTTCCTAGCTCATTAATCAATTATTCATATCTTCCTTGGTGCTTCTCAACTAGAGCATTTTGTATATAGGTCTCTTAATACGAGTTTCATGATGAAAGAAACACTTATCTTCATCTTTATATCCCTAGTGCTGTAGTAAAGTGAAAACATCTAATTATCAATCAACACATATTTTAAATCTACTTTGTATTATATTCTGTGTGAAAATGTCAGAGATATAGAAAATATTACTATTTTTAATTATCAAATTAATTAACAATATCCTGTTAATTAAGCTTAACAGTGACATGAGATAATGGGGGAAAAAAGGAAAGCCAATGGCAATTTTTAAAATGCTACATAATTTTATTCTTTTCTTTTTTATGGTGCTGAGGGTCAAACCCAGGGCCTCATGCATTGTAGGCAAGCTCTCTACCACTGAGCTTCAAACCCAGCCCTAATTTTATTCTTTTATAGCAATGCAGTCTTGAAGTTAAAGTATCTGTGGCAGAGCCCTTACTGACTGCAGCACAGGTCTTGGGGAGCAATCTACTGAAGGTCACTTTGGAGGGTGCCTACTCTGTGCCTGAATCCTTCGTTCCAACAGGGACTCAGCAGAACTACATGGTTGGTCTGCAGGTTCCATCACTTGGAGAGGTAAAGCCCTATCACCAGATATTTGTATAGCATCAAATGTGTCTACACTCATATGGCTGAGATTCACATCAGCTAAGCATTAATTCAAAACATTATTTTATTAATTGCTGAGATTTATTTTAGACTTAAAAATAAAGTTTATTTCTGTTTATATACATTTTTTATATTTATAATTAACATGGTCATTGTATATTACATATAATTTTTATTAATAGTATATGCTTATTGTAGAATATATGTAAGATATTTAAAAATTTCAGTATGTGTTATTGTTATGCATGTATTTTGTGGGTTTTATACAGTGTATTTTATTATAAAGAGCTTTCTCTTAATTCTAGGTTATTTTCTTAAGCCAAATTTCTAAATGTAAGAACTAGGTATGAGTTAATTTTTGTATATTATGTTAGGTAATGGCACAACATTATTCTTTTTCATGTGACTATCCAGTTTTTCCATCACCATTGACACCCTTAATTTTGACAATTTTTGTCAGCATTCTTATTGTTATGAAGTAACAGATTTTCAAAGGCCCTTATCCTGCTATTCTGTAAGTGCCAGACTTTTATAAAAGATTTTTAAGTTTAACCCAAAGAAACAGATTAAATTCCTCATATGTAGATTTTTTAAAAAAATGTTTATTTTTTAGTTGTAGTTGGACATAATACCTTTATTTTACTTATTCATTTTTTATGTGCTGAGGATTGAACCCAGGGCCTCACACATGCTAGGCAAGCACTCTACCACCGAGCTACAACCCCAGCCCTCTCATATGTAGATTTTAAATTTTATTAGAGGCTGCAAAATTACTTTCCATACTTGTACCAATTTACATTCCTCATCAACAATGTATAATACTATTTCCATTCATAATTTTGTCAACACTTGATATTTTTAGACTTTGCTTTTGCCAATCTGTGGTATTTCGTTGCTTTAATATACATTTCACTGATTAATTAATTAATTTATTTTTGGTACTGGGGATTGAACCCAAGGGCACTCAACCACTGAGTCACATATCCAGCTCTTTTTATTTTTTGTTTTGAGGTAGGGCCTTGCTAAGTTGCTGCAACTAGCCTTGAACTTGTGATCCTCCTGCCTCAGCCTCCAGAGTTACTGGGATTACAGGTGTGCACCACTGCACCCAGCTTCACTGATTACTAATTATACAAAGCTTATTTATTTTTAAATGTTGGATTTTTCAATTTGCTTTTCTATAGATTGACTATTCTTATATTTTGCTAATTTCCATTGCAAATAAGCTTTAGATAAATTAAAGGATATGAAAATAAATGCCTATAAAAATCATCAGATTTTGTTTTTTCAAAGGATAATTTTTAAACAAATGTAATTGCCTCATATACAAAATGACAGTCTTATCAAAGATTTTATTTAACTTATTAGTAAGGGAATCAGTAGAATGGGAAGAAGTGACCTATGAGTAGGTATTCAGGAATGCTGAAATAACTTTTCTAATAATTCAAAACTTATTAGTCCTAGGGTATTAACCAGTTACATTGCCACTAGACATAATGTATATTTGCATAACTATAGACAAGAATAATTTGCATTATCAACAATTTTATAAAAAGTAAAATGGCATAAAGACAATGAAGGGCACATACTCCTATACAGAATCAGATGATCATGAAAAGATATGTTTTGTAATAGACATTCCTGTAATCACTTTGTCCTTTTCAAAGTTTTTTTACACTTTTTTCTCATTGTTGTATTTATTCTATAGAAGGACTATCCCATTTTATTCAAGAATGGAACACTGAAGCTTGGAGGGGAAAGAGAAACTTTTCCCCGACCCAAAAAATGGCCTATTGCCAACATTCTGGCTCCAGGAGCTAATAATATTCCTGATGCGTACATTGTTGGTGGTCCCTATGAGGAAGAAGAAGGAGAACTCAACCACCCTGAGGTGAAAATGAACAGGTTTTTGTGATAAACTCAGGGCATTTTGCGAATCACTAGTTTATGTTCATCTGTCACTTATCAAAATAAAAGAATTATATAGCAAAACACTTAACTATCTAATTCTGATGAGAATGTCCCTTTAATGTCTATGTGTTGGAGGGATGCTGGTGATTGAACTCAGGGCACTCTACCACTGAGCTATAGCCCCAACCCTTTTTTTATGTTTTATTTTGAGACAGGGTCTCAGTGAGTTGCTCAGGCTGGTCCTGAACTTGTGATCCTCAAGTAGCTGAGATCACAGGTGTATGCCACTGTGCCCAGTTTGATTTCTTAAGTCTAGCAAGTAATTTATGTCAAATTTACTCTTTGTTTTTTGAATAGATAATAATTCAGTCACAGTTTAAAATAATACAGTGAAAATCTCCCTCCTAGTCTGTCTCTTCTCCTAAACCCTTCTCCTATCCTATTACCTAGTTAGTCACCTCTTGTGTTTCTTTCCAGATACTTTTTATACATATAAAAGCAAATAGGGTTGGGGTTGTGGCTGAGTTGGGATTGTGGCTGGGTTGGGGTTGTGGCTCAGAGGTAGAGCCCTTGCCTAGCATGCATGAGACACTGGGTTTGATCCTCAGCACCACATAAAAATAAAGATATTGTATCCACCTATAACTAAAAAGTAAATACTAAAAAAATAAATTAAAGCAAATATACAAATGGTCAAAGGAAGATTAAAGACAGAAGCATTTGCAAAATTAAGGGGAAATTTTTCTTACATAGAATAAAAGGGAGTCAGATTTCAGAAGGACTGGCTTACCAGATAAAAAATAATAAGTACTTAAAAGGGAACATCACAAAATTACTAGGGTCGCCACAGTTACAGTCTGTTCATGATGAAAAACTCCAGTTTTTCATGAAACATCCTTAGAGATTGGCACAGTGAAAGGGATGAAATTGTTTTTCTTTAGTAAATCCAGACTCACTGGAAGTATTCATAGTCTTACTATTTTCAGAACTAAAATTAGTTAGGAAGACACTGCTATTATTTCTTAGGATATGAAGTGTTTCTGTTTTTTTAAACTGGGGGTAGGAAGTGCTTACTCATATTGAGAACAGGGGGAATATAACTCTTGCCTCATACATGCTCATACACTAATACACACGTACCTGTGCTGCTTCCCCATCATTTGTTTACACATATGTAAAGGTGTGCACAGTTACACCATTATGCAGGTTGCTTTGTTTCACTTTATCTTGGACTTTTTTTTTTTATATCTCTACATAATGAGCACTTCATTATTTTTCTTTCTTTTATGAACTTGCATTATGTTATGACATTGTTTGGACATAGTTTAATTTATTTAGTTTCTTATTAGTGAACATTCAGGTTTTTGAAATTATTCTTTCTTTTTAAAACCTATTTTATTACAACACATAATTTCTCAGTGGCATAGAAAACAGTGTAAATACACTTGCAAATGTTTCTTTTACAAGCTGATAATCATTAGGGGAATTATTTAATAGTACAAGTTGTAAAATGAGGATGGTTGAAATTATTTTTATTACCTGAATGTAAATATTTACAACAATACTGATAAAACTAGCAGTATTTTAAAAATATTGTGCAGTATCTTTTCTTATCATTGTGGTAGGTGAAAGTTTATATTTTCCTTAGATTTATATTTTAATTTAGATCAACTCTCTTATTTATTTATTACCAGGGATTGAACCCAGAGGCATGCAACCACTGAGCCACATCCCCAGCCCTCTTAATATTTTATTAGAGATAGGGTCTCACTGAGTTGCTTAGGGTTGCTGAGGCTGGCTTTAAACTCTTGATCCTCCTGCCTCAGCCTCCTGAGTTTCTGGATTATAGGTATGTGCCATCGCACCCAATTTAGATCAGCTCTATTATTTTAGATCTTTAGATTTTATATTATGTTTTAATTTATATCACTAGTTTTCAACCCTGATTGCACATTAGAATCACTTGAAACCTTTAAAACTATGGAAATGGCCAAGCCTTAAACCAGATGGATTATATAAGAATTTACTTTTAAACCAGGTGGCATAGCCCATAATCCCAGTGACTTGGGAAGCTGAGGTAGGAGGAATGCAATGCCAGCTTCAACAACTTGATGAGGCCCTAAGCAACTCAACAAGACCTTGTCTCTAAATAAAATAGAAAAATGACTGGGGATGTGGCTTAGTGGTTAAGTGCTGCTGAATTTAATCCCTGGTACCAAAAAAAAAAAAAAAATTTCATCCAGCTTCCACAGGATTTTAATATACATCCCTGCTTAAGGATCACTAATTGAGGTGATGTGAATAAATATTTTGCACTTAGTACTGGATTGATGTATAGATTATGTAAGTAATATACCTTACCTTCTCTATTAGTAAAATACCTGAAAAATTTAAGGTGGTGGTAGTAGCTATAATAGTGGTCATACTTCATAGTAGTTACAGTGGTAGTAATGAAATATTGCAATCAAATCCATTACAAGAATGCCCCACAGATTGAGTAGGATGAAAATGTGACACATATGGAATAAAATTATTCTTATTATTTTATAGGACAGAGAATTTAGGAACCAAGCAGAGTACACAAAGAAAAGGATTATTTGGGACTTGGAAAGTCGCTGTTACCTTGATCCTCCTGCAGTTGTCAGGTAGGAAGAGAAAGATCATAGGTGGGAAGACAGTTACTTGTGTTGATTTTACTTACATTTGAGTTAAGATGATTTGAGACTTTTTCTTGCTTATATCTATAAATAGTTAAACATTGTGTTCATCTGCTAATAACAGATGTACCTCTTGATGATGGCTTAACCAAGATGTATGTTTATTTCTCTTTCATATAAAAGAAATCCAGAATTGGACTGTGGTGGCTGCACAGTGTTATCAGAAATCTAGGCTTAATCTTTCTTTTTGCTTTACCTTCTTTAATATGTGCCTTCCATCTAAAAGTTTGTCTTATGGTCCAAGATACTACTAGAGTTTCAGCCTACACATTTATGTTCCTGGCAGAAAGTTAGAAGAGGGGAAGGGCCACAGGATTTTAAGGAGGTTCTATAAGGAGGTCCTTCTTAGTCCTCTTTATAGAACCTTCTTGGAACCTAGTAACCTCTGTTTACATTTCTTTGACCATCTCTAGATGCAAGAAAGGCTAGAAAATAAGTTGGTTTTTTTGGATATATTGTCACCCAAACTAATTCAGGATTTAATTACCAAAGAATAGGACACTTGATATTATGTAAGTAACTCTTATTTTCTGTCAGTAATCTAGTGTTTAGGGAGAGGTGAAAAATAGAGGTTTATCAATATATGTATAATCTGAATGAGCATTTTTGACCTTTAAAAAATTGGTGGCTTTTTTTCTCTCAATACTTAAAATATTTTTCTTTACTTCTTTCTTTGCATAGTTTCTGAAGAGAAGTTCAATGTGATTCTTATCCTTATCCCTTTTTTAGGTATGGGTATTTTTTTCTATCTCTGGTTTGTTTGTTTCTTTCTTTTTATTTGAAATCATGCAGACTGTTTTTCCTGTAGACTGTGTTTTACATTAGAAATCAATCACCTTAATATATATATAGAATCCCATCCCCATGACCTAGCTACTTCAAAATTAAATGGCACACTTATAAATATCTGTGACATAAAATTAAATGAAAATTAAATAAAAAGTGTTTTGAACTAAATGATAATAAAAGCTTAAAATATCAGAATCTCTGGAACAAAATAGTACTCAGATATATACTTATAACTTTTAAAGTATTTGTAACAGAAGGAAGCTAGATAAAGAAGCTAGATAACAGTCATATTTTCAAATTAAATTGTAGGAAAGAAAAAATAAGAGTAGGAGCAGGAATATGTGAAATAGAAAAGAAACAATACTACTAAAAGTTGATAAAATTCTAACAAGTATAATCAAGAAAAATATCATTGGAAAGGAAGCTATGAAAACAATCCTGTAGATCCCAATGGCTCGGAAGGCTGAGGCAGGAGGGTCACAATTTCAAAGCCAGCCTCAGCAATGCGGAGGCACTAAGCAACCCAGTGAGACCCAGTGTCTCTAATAAAATACAAAATTGGGCTGGGGATGTGGCTCAGTGGTTGAGTGCCCCTGAGTTTAATCCCTGGTACAAAACAAAACAAAACAAAACAACTCTACAGATAGTAAAAATGTATTAAGTTCTTTCTTCCAAGTGGTCTAATCTGTCGATCTAGTCTGATGCTTTCTACTGAATTTTAATTTGTTTTATTATTTCCTTCATTAAGATAATACAACAATTGTATAATTACAATTATATAGCTTACATAAACTTGGTCTATTTTAAAGGATCAAAACCGTTACTTGTCATAGGGCTGGGGTTGTGGCTCAGCAGTAGAGTGCTCGCCTCTCGTGTGTGAGACCCTGGGTTTGAGCCTCAGTCTCACATAAAAATAAATAAGTGAAATAAAAGTTTTGTGTCTTCCTACAACTAAAAAATAAACATTAAAAAAAACCCTCACTTGTTAATACCATCCATGTGAGTGATATGTTTTTTCCCATTCTTTCACCTTCAATCTGTGGATGTCTTTGTCTATGAGGTGAGACTCTTGGAGACAGCATATTTTTAGGTCTTATTTTTTAATCCAATCTGCCAGTCTATGTCTTTTTAAAAAATTACACAATATCTTTATTTTTATGTAGTGCTGAGAATCAAACCCAGGGCCTCATGCATATGAAGTAGGTGCTCTATCACTGGCTACAACCCCAGCCCTAATCTATGTATTTTGATTGATGAGTTTAGGCCATTTATGTTCAAGGTTATTATTGAGATATGATTTGTGTTCCCAGTCATTTAGATTTATTTCTAGTTTTTAATTTGAATTCGTTTCTCCTTTGGATTGACTATTCCTTTAGTGTAGTTCCTCCCCTTGCTGTTTTTCACTTTTATTAATTTCATCTTCATAAATATTTTCTTGAGAATATTCTGAAGTGCAGGCTTTCTGGTTGCAAATTCTTTTAATTTTTGTTTATCATGGAAGGCTTTTATTTTGTCTTCAAATCTGAAGCTTAATTTTACTGGATGTAGGATTCTTGGTTGGCATCCATTTTCTTTTAGAGCTTGGTATATATTATTTCTGGACCTCCTGGCATTGAGGGTTTGGATTGAGAAATGAGCTGAGATCTGAATTGGTTTCCCCTCTATGTAATCTGATATTTTTCTCTTGCAGCCTTTAAAATTGTATCCTTATTCTGTATGTTAGGCATTTTCATTGTAATACAACTTGATGGAGGTCTTTTGTAATTTTGCACATTTGGGAAACCTGTAAGCCTCTTGTATTTGATTTTCCATTGCATTCTTTAGCATTGGGAAATTTTCTAATATTATTTCATTGAAAAGATTGTGCATTCCTTTGGTTTGTATCTCCTTGCCATTAATCTATCCCAATAAATCTTAAATTTGGTCTTTTCATGTTATCCCATAATTCTTAGAAGTTCTGTTGATGGTTTTTTAACATCTTCTCTCAATGGTCAACTCTATTTTCAAGATTATATATTTTGTCTTCATTGCCTGAGGTTCTGTCTTCCAGGTAGTCTAGTCTGTTGGTGATGCTTTCTACTGAATTTTTAATTTGGTTTATTGTTTCCTTTATTTCAAGGATTTCTGTTTTTTTCTTTTTCCCCCAGAATCTCTATCTCTTTATTAAAGTGATCTTTTGCTGCCTGTGTTTTCTCTCTTACATTATCCTTTACTTCATAGATCAGTTTAACTAAGTACATTCTAAACTCCTTCTCTGACATTTCTTCTACTATGGTATCTATGGATTCTGTCTTTGGAGTATCTTGGTTTGCTCGGAGCAATTTGTTCCCTTGCTTTTTTTTTTTTTAATATTTTTAGTTGTAATTGGTACAATATCTTTATTTATTTATTTTTATCTGGTACTGAAGATTGAACCCAGTACTT